CGATGCAAATCATATGGGTATAGCTGGTTGGAACTATCCTTCAGCACCGATCCTCTCTGCACATGACAAGTCTTTTAGCTTGCTGATGCCACTTAAACATATTTTCAACATTTTCAACGATTATCCTATGATTACGTGTGGCAGACAAACTTTCAGATTTGTACGAGCTAGAAATGATAACGATTGCGTTATTATCAAGGAAAAAGTTGGAGAAACTGGAACAACAGCGAAAATTGTTATCGAAAGCATCGAATTGAAAATCAAACATATTTATCCGAATGATGATGTAAAAGAACAACTTTTAAAATCTATTCAGACTGACAAGCCGATACTAATTCCGTTTAGAAAATGGGACCTGAACGAATTGCCTACAATAACTGCAGGTGCGAGAAGAGAAATATGGGCAGTTAAAACCAGCACCGCAATTGAAAGACCGCGTTTTATTATCGTATGTTTCCAAACTGATAAACGTGATGCTGTTGAAGCAGATCCGACCCTGTTTGATCATGTAAATACGGCTAGCATTCGAGTATCTTTGAATGGTGAATACTATCCCAATGAACGTATGCAGTTAGACTTTGCAAATAGTCACTTTGCTGAGGCTCATTTTAACTACAGCGACTTTCAAGTCAGTTATGCAAACTCCACTGTGAAGAAATGTCTTTTGGATTATGTTGCATTCAAAAATCGTGCTTTGTTCGTTATTGATTGTTCAAAGCAAGAGGAAACTATGAAATCATCTACTGTCGATGTGAGATTGGATATCGAAGCCGATACTGGATTCCCGGGCAACACTAAAGCCTACTGTATAATTATTCATGATTGCTTAATGGAGTACTTCCCCCTCACCGAAGTTATTAAAAACATCTCGTAAAAAACGTTAGCCTCAGATTCAAAAGAGACATCATGAGAATCGCACTCGTCGACATTCAAGGCTTCATCGTTGATGACTTATTTGTACCCAAAGAATTAAGCATCAACATTGGTTTCAAGACGAGCCATTACATCTTTACACCTCCGCAGCCATTTGCTACATTAAGTAATAAAGACAAAAAAACTGCATCGTATTTAGAGAAGAATTTACATGGCATTAAATACTCTTCGGGTAACGTAGAATATTCCAAGTTGAATAAAATACTTGAGAATAAGTTGTTGCTTGCTGCAGACTATATTTATGTTCGAGGAGAACAGAAAGCAGGATTTTTACTTAAGAAATGCAACATTTTAGGCGTTTTTCCCAACATTATTAACGTTTGCAAGTATGATGGTACGCCCTGTGCAACTGGAAACTTTGCAGCTGATATCAACCCATGTCATGCCACTGGACAATTTTCTTGCACCCAACGAAATGTGGAACGTCTACGCCAATGGCTTATAAATGTAATATTACCTATGTAATGAGTGGTTTTTTAAATAAATTTTAATTCTTTAACGTATGATTTGGGTTTTATTGAAACGCCTTTCCTTTTTAAATATTAATTTTAATGCAAGAAGATTCGCATTTGCGATTTACAATTTTTACAACAATATTTAACAATATTATTATTATTCCAAAAAGTATAATGTATAAAAGTATAACTGATGTATCATATTGGATGATTTCATCGGTCTCGTACCATCTTGAATCGCTCTCCGTGTTATCAGGAAATATAAGCTTTATCTTGTAGAATTGTCTTGGCTGTATTTCTTTGAAGAATACTGGAAGTTGCCCATCATTTACTACTTTATGATCCATCAAAGTCCATTCAGTTCGATTACAATCACTTTTTACATCATTAATACAAATTGCCAAATTCTTGACGTTATTGGGGACATTTGTATATAAGACATTATTAAAAATAGCCGTTAGGATGATGAATGATTCTGCTACTTGTAACATCTTGTAGGCCGAATCCTTCTTAGTGGATATTGAGCTGCTGGCGTCTTGTAATTTAGAAATACTTTATCCCACACACTTAGATTTGCTAGTTGCGCTACGATTATTTTCTTATCTTCGTACAAAGCTATTTGTTTATTTAATTTACGAATATTTTCACAAAATTCTTCAAGTTTGCGTCCTTGTTCGTCGGATGACATCATAATACTAAATCATTTGACCACTTACTTTGATTTTTCAGGTAGGAGAATTTTTTCAATATTTTTCCCGTAATCTACACATAAATACCTTTTCAACGAGGTATCACATGCTCCAGGGCGGGGGCGGGGGTCGCGGGGGCGGGGGTGGGGGTGCGGGGCGCCTGGCACGAACCATGCGATCCCACTATGCCTCACCAAGTCCGCGCGAATCGTTCCTCTCTCTCCAACACATTGATTTCCCATACCTATAGGTACCTCTCTCTCTTACACATTGATTTCCCTATTCTAATAGTGGTGGCTGTATAGTATATCTACTTATTTCTATAGATATTCATTGAAAACGAAAATACTGAAAAATTAAAATTTAACACTTTTCCTCCAATTTTTCCATTACGGTCCATTTTAGAAAAGTCATTTAAAAACAAAAATTATAAAGATCGATATCGCAAACAACTTTTAGTTTAACAATTTTCTTAAAAAACAGAATTTTGCACATTTTGTCAAATTTCTCGAATACGGACCATTTCAGGAAAATTTGACATAAAACAAAAATTATAGATAATAATATTGTAAGTAACTTTTATTTGAAGAATTTTCTTCCCCAAACGTAAATAACGAATATATTCCATAAAATATAAAAATCTGATGTGTCCAACACATGACTTTCCTATCTAGGTATTACAGGCCTTTTCCGGTTATTTTGTACAACCTATTGCAGCATCTCTATAAATGTTTAGAGGATAAACTAAATATATACATTGTCCACATACATCTACCGCGAAACATTTTTCTATAGATATTCATTGAAAATGAAAATACTGAAAAATTTATATTTAGCACTTTTCCTACAATTTTTCCATTACGGTCCATTTTAAAAAAATCATGTATAAACAAATATTATAGAGATCGATATCACAAACAACTTTTATTTCAACAATTTTCATAAAAATCAGAATTTTGCACATTTTGTCAAATTTTTCGAATACGGACCATTTCAGGAAATTTTTACATAAAGTAAAAATTATAGATAATAATATTAGAAGTAACTTTTATTTGAACAATTTTTTTCTTCAAACATAAATAACAGATATATTCCATAAAATATAAAAACGGCCTCCCATAAAGTACCCCCCCAGATGTTCCGACTTTGTCCAAAATCTAATCATTTCACGTCAGGCCGAAATAAAACTTAAGTTTAAAATTTAATGTTTCTTTCGTTATCCATTTTTGAGTTTTCTTCAAATTTCGAAATTTACACATTTTCTCAAATATCTCGAATACGGTCCATTTTAGAGAAATTATCTATAGGATAAAAATTATAGAGAATTATATTACAAACAACTCTTGTTTGAACAATTTTTATGAAAAAAAATATTTTTTTACATTTTGTCAAATTTTGCGAATACGGACCATTTTAGGAAAATTTTGTATATAACAAAAATTATAGATAATAAAATAAGAAGTAACTTTCATTTAAAGAATTTTCTTCCCCAAACGTAAATAACAGATATATTCCATAAAATATAAAAATGACCACCTATAAAGTACCCCCCCAGATGTTCCGACTCTGCCCAAAATCTAATCAGCTCATTAGACGTTGGAACAAAGCTTAAGTTTGAAATTTGGTGTTTTTCCGTGTATCGGTTCATGAGTTATGCGTTATACAGACACACACACACACACACACACACACACACACACACACACACACACACACACACACACACACACACACACACACACACACACACAGACACACACACACACAGACATCATCGCGAAAATAGTCAAAACGGATTCAGGGGACCTCAAAACGTAAAAATCCGTCGAAAACTCGAGGTCGAAAAAAATCATGATTCCTATACTTTCCTTATATCTGTATACAGATAGGAAAGTAAAAATGACCACCAATAAAGTACCCCCCCCCCCCCGAATGTTCCGACTCTGTCCAAACCCTAATCAGTTCACCTCAGGTCGAAATAAAACTTAAGTTTAAAATTTAATGTTTTTTCCTTTATCCGTTTTTGAGTTTTCTTCAAAATTCGAAATTTACACATTTTCTCAAATATCTCGAATACGGTCCATTTTAGAGAAATTATGTATAGAATAAAAATTATAAAGAATTATATTACAAACAACTTTTATTTGAACAATTTTTATAAAAAATTATTTTTTTTACATTTTGTCAAATTTCTCGAATACGGACCATTTTAGGAAAATTTTGCATCAAACAAAAATTATAGATAATTATACTAGAAGTAACTTTTATTTAAAGAATTTTCTTCTCCAAACGTAAATAACAGATATATTCTATAAAATATAAAAATGACCACCTATAAAGTACCCCCCAGATGTTCCGACTCTGCCCAAAATCTAATCAGCTCATTGGACACTAGAACAAAGCTTAAGTTTAAAATTTGGTGTTTTTCTGTGTATCGGTTCATGAGTTATGCGTTATACAGACACACACACACACACACACACACACACACACACACACACACACACACACACACACACACACACACACACACACACACACACACACACACACACACACACACACACACACACACACACAGACATCATCGCGAAAATAGTCAAAACGGATTCAGGGGACCTCAAAACGTAAAAATCCGTCGAAAACTCGAGGTCGAAAAAAATCATGATTCCTATACTTTCCTTATATCTGTATACAGATAGGAAAATAAAAATATAAATGTTGCAGATTTCCTACTCATTAAATTTGAAACGAAAAAACTTACTAGCCTGCTATATTTTTATACAATCGCTTCCCCTTTCAAAAATTTGACGGCACGCCACTGATATGGGATATTCAAAGTAATGACTTTTCTAATTTAAAGCTTTTACATGTTGGCAAATTTAAAGATAATTTGTGAAATAAGCTTTCAATATTAACTTACCCGATATTAATGTTGTACCAACGTTTTTCCATCTGATAGAACTTCCGTAAAAAATCTCAGGATGTAGATGAGTAAGAAAGTTATTTCGTAAATCCAACGTCAGATGAGGGATCTTGTACATATTAGAGAATAATCCAGAAGGCAACTCCTCAATTCTTGTCCCGTGGATTTTTATAACCAACTGAGGATTCTTCGTAAATCTTATGAACGCATCTTTATTGATAGTTTTCAAATTTTTTCCGCTAATTTCTAAATGCTGTATTTTTCTGTTAGTTACGCAGAATAATTGATCGGTCAGCTCTTGTTCGACAAACATTATTTTAAGCACTCTCAACTGATCTGTATGGGAAAATAGGTGACACAATTTTTCCGAAAAATTATATACGTTAGGCCAAGTCTGCATAGATAATTTCGATATAATCTTCAACTGCGTCAAAGCCTCACTATCAAATTTTATCAATTTATCCAAATGTTGTATATTTAGTTCTTGTAGATTTTGTAAACCGTTGAAACTGTCTGCTGATATTTCGTTTATAGGATTGTAGGATATATCTAGAGTTTTCAGATTCGGAAGGTAAATCCATATGAATGTAGGTATTTGATTCAAATTGTTATGGCTCAAATCGAATATCTTCAATATCGTTAACTGCTGTACAGAATATTTGTTTATGAACTCGATGTTATTGTGACTTAAATTTAGATAGATCAAATTCGGTAAAGGGAAATATGGTGTTAATATAATCCCAGCGTTTGATAGATCTAGATATCTCAAAGTTTGTGCGTAATGAAATAATTCTTTGAAATTAGATCTCAAAGGATTTGAACTCAAATCTAAAGATTGCAAAATTCCCAAACTTGTAAACGCGTTATCGGGTAGTATAGTCAATTTGTTGTTACCTAAATATAATTGTTGCAATAACGGTATATCAGGAAAAGTAGTTATATCGATATGTTCAATATTATTTGATTGCATTGATAGATATCTCAAAGATATTCCGATATCTGATAAACTAGTACTAGGTACTACCGAGAAACTATTATAACTCAAATCTAGCATTTCTATATGGGTGCTTTTGAAAATTTCTTTCGGTAGATAACTGAGATGATTACCATTCAAATTTAACACCCGTAATTTTGACATATTAGCAAATTGACCTATGTGCAAGTGGTTGATTAGATTCTTAGATAAATCCAAAGTTTGTAAGCTTTGTAAACCGAAAAAGGCTTTTTTACCAATCGTCTCTAAATTATTTTGTTGCAATCCCAGACTTTCTAATGATGTCAAATGCATAAAAACTATATTTTCTAATTTGGCTATTATGTTGTAATCTAAATGTAATTTTTTTAATCCTGATGTATTTTGGATACAAGATGGAATTGTATTAAGATTGTTAAATCTTAGATCCAAAATTTGTACGTTCAATTTTCTAGAATCCGATTTACAAGATACTATCTGATTTCTGCTAAGATTCAAATGTAGATGTCCAGTAATGTTTATAAAAACATTAAAAGATATATCTGTCAATTTATTATTGTAAAAATCGATTTTGTTAATATCGGGTAGATTTGAGAAGGTATCAATTTCGATCATTTTTATTCTATTATCAGATAGAATGATTGTATTGAGATTAGGCAGATCTGCAAAACTATTTTTACTTAATTTTTCTATTTGATTATTAGAAAGTAAAATCGTTTCAAGACTTTTTAATGATCGAAAAGTATTTGATTCTATTGCACTAATTTCATTATTTGAAAAACGTATATCCTGCAATTTCGAATGCACTTCTATTTCGAAAAAATTACTTGGTATCGATTTAATTTTATTCGATTCTAAATTGAGATATTTCAATTCCGGTAAATAAAAATCTGAATGATTTATCACATTAATATTATTATGATCCAACGATAACCATCTTAAATTTGGATTTACCTTGAATATTCCAGTATGCAAATCATTTATTTCGAAACTAAAAGACATTTCTAAACTTTCTAAATTTCTCAAATTGATAAAAACATCTTTATCGATGTACCTCAATGGATTGAAGCTCAAACTCAGCTCCTTCAGATCAACCAAATCATCGAAAATGTTATTTCGCAAACGCGTTATCCTGTTATTAGCCAGAATCAAACTTTTAACATTCCACGCCCAATTTTGAAAATGTTCCCGTTCGATTTCGAAAATTTCATTGAAAGCGATATTAAAATGGGATATTTTCGAGCAATTCTGTAAGGCAACAAAAGGAATTTCATAAAGTTGATTGCCACTTAAACTTAACGCTTTTAAACTGTGACAAAAGTTATCAAAACTATTAGAAGAGACGTATTTTAAAAAATTCCACGATAAGTACAAATATTTTACAGAATTCAATCGTTTTAAACCTTCTGGAATTCGTTGTAAATTATTATGATCCAAATCTAAATATTCCAAACTGGATATGATACCGTTAAATGCGTCGAAATCCATTTTTTCTATTGAATTATAAGAGAAAATTATCCTTCCTGTTTTTAAACCGAAAAAAGAATTGTCAGTCAGCATTCTAAAGTCGTTAAATGCCAAATTAATGTCTCTAATGTTCAAAGTATCGTTAAATAAAAACGATGGTAAAGTGCTGATATAATTCTCGGCTAAATCGACTTTTTCCAAATATAATATTCGTTGAAAAGTATACTGGGGGATTAATTTGATGTGGTTTCCTCTTAGATACAGCCATTGCAGGTTCGTTGACATATTGATGACATCTATTGGAAAATCTGTTATCAAGTTATGCGAAAGACTAACTGTTTTCAAAGAAGCAGGGAGAGAATCTTTCTCTATGTTGTAAATACGATTTCCATCCAAATTTAACCAAATCAACGTTTTAAAATGTTTGAGACCTTGTTGTTGGTTATTTTTGAAATTGTGGGTGATGGTGGTGTCGTTGGGTATGATGGTTAAATCGTTTTCTCCTAAGAATAATGTCGATATAGAATTTTTCATGTGCGACCAGATTCCCGTTACTGTAGATATTTCGTTTCTGAAACAAATTTATTTAAAAAAATTATAATTAGCCATCAAGAAAAATCGTAATTAGAGTTGGTTGTGAAATTTGTATGTTTTGGGTTGGTATTTTAGCCACTTCCACAAAATGACATTAATTACTTGATAGATTCGTTGTAAACTAACAGCCGTATGTATAGTCGATCGCCAGGGATTCGCCAGCGGATCAAAACGAACTTCGTAAAACTAATAGAGCGAAAAATTGCGGCAATAATTCCTACTAGAAACAAATTCAACTCCCTAAGCGAAAGCGAGTCAGAACAAGAGCAAATCACAGTGCTTCCAGCCACAACAAAAGGGAAAGCAACCCCCAATCTACCGATAAAAGGCAACTCTGCGTCTATAGTCTATTTTTTTGTATGAGAGAGTATTAAAATAATAAATCGTTCGTAATCCATAGGCGTACCACTTCTTTTAGTAAACAGTTAAAATATTTTTTATAGTTATTCCTCGAGTATACACTTATATTTTCACCTAATTAACCTGCTTATAACTTCTAAACAGCTGAAGGTAAAAAAGTGCAATTTTTTCTAACATGTTTTATTTTTCCACAAGGTATGTTAAGAACATTGTGTCAAACGTGTTATGTAGATATAAGGGTTTAAACTTTGACTTTTAAACAACGTTACGTTCATAAATAATAATTTTAATATAAAAACTACTTCTTACCTACAAATCCAAATCGAAATCAGAAGATGAACCAATATTTACAATGAGTGGCTCGATCATTTCAACAGTAATATTGTCCAACTTCCACATTTTCTCTTCTTCTTTAATCGTATGATATACTGCTTACTATACAGGGTGTTATTGAAATACACGTACATATTAAAATGGGGAATAGTATGTAATGACCAAAAACGATTGGCACCAATTTTAACTTCAAATTCTAAAATTTAAATATTGGGGAAGAGTCCCCTTTTCCGACCTACTAGTTTCCATATTTAAAGAAGTAAAATAAATCGAAATTGAACTTACCCATAGAAATTGCACTGTTGCCGTAGCAAAACCAATTAATTCAAAATAAAGTTTATTACAGTAATTGTTCAAAATGCCGTCCATTATTATTTACACACACTTGCAATCGTCTTTCCAAAGAACTTTGAACATTAGAAATTAGTCTTGGATTTTGTCGTAGTTCCTCGGCTACCGCATTAACTTTATTGGTTAATTGTTCAACACTATTAATAGGTTCATTATAAACCAGTTGTTTCATGTGACCCCACAAACAGAAATCGCATGGATTTAAGTCCGGAGATCTCGGAGGCCACTTAGTAGGTCCATTTCTGCCTATCCGCTTTTGAGGAAATCTAATGTTCAAAAACTGCCGTACGTTTAAATCAAAGTGAGGAGGAGCGCCATCTAGTAGGTACCACATCCGTTGCCTTAATTGTAACGGTATCTCTTCTAGGAGTACTGGCTAAATATCTTCTAAAAAGTGGAGATATCCTGGCCCATTTAATCTGTTCGGGAGAACATAAGGCCCGATTAAATACTAATCTATTATGCCAGCCCAAACATTTATTGAACATTTTCTTTGATGCCCAGTTTCCCTAATGGCGTGAGGATTTTCATCACTCCAAATATGCGTATTGTGCATATTGAACACGCCATCACGAGTGAATGAAGCCTCGTCAGTATACAATAATATTTTTAGAAAATCAGGAATATCAACACATTTTTGAATCATCCATTCACAAAACTCCACTCTCTTTTCTTCATCACCTGGATATAAGGCCTGGACTTTTTGGATGTGATAAGGATGTAAACCTTGTTCTTTAAGTGTCCGCCACACAACAAATGAGGACACTCCAATTTCAAGACCTAGTCTTCTACAACTTAATTGAGGCCGGTTTTCAACAGCTTCCAATATTTCTTCTTCGGCCGCCAATGTTCTTTGTGTTCTTGTTCTCCCTCGATCTGCATTGACACTCTCAAATTTTCCATGGTCTCTTAGATGCTGAACAGTTGAAATAAACGTACGACAGTCCGGAATTCTCCGATTTGGAAACCGTTCGCGATACAGGATTTGTGCTTGCCGAGAATTTTCTCCAGCTGCCCCATAAACCAGCACTATATCCGTTAGTTCAATATTCGTAAATAGTGGCATCGTAAAAAAATATTTAAAAGTAATCGTAACAACACTTTTTACCAACTTGGAAATGACGCGCTCGTGTTAGCCAGATTCGTAAATCAACTAAAATTTTAATAATCTATAGTTTCAAAAATGTATAGTTTAAAAACAATCATTTATCAAATATTCTAGTTTTTTGATAACGAGGGTAGTAAAAACCAGTCTTCGGAAATAGAAATTAATTCGAAAATCTTGGCAACATGGTTATTTCTTACAAGACTAGTTTTCTTATCATCTGACAAAAACTTGCATATTAATTACTGTTGATGTTTAAAATAGGTAAATAAACCTAATTTATATAGGTCATCCTCAACATATCAGTGAAGTACGTTTGTTATAGAATTAATTTTCAAAAATTAATAACTCCCTTAATAAGGGGTATTTTTAAAAAATAATATTTTTCTACATTCAGTGGGGATCTGCGCAATACCCAGTTTTAATATGTACGTGTATTTCAATAACACCCTGTATATTGGTAATGAAAATATATGGAATAAACACCACAAATTATGGACATATTCAGATGGAAATAGTACTTTTAAATATATCCAAAATATTTTGTTGTTTTAAATTTTAATTAATAATTTTGTAAAATAAAATTTACTTGAATATTTAGTTAATGATTTTGATTAGAAATTCATTCATTTTTAGTTTAAAAAAATCAGCAATAAAGTGGTTAGTTTTTTTAAGTAGAACACCCAAAAAACAATGTTGACCAATTTATAATATACAAGGTGTCTCTAAAAGGTGCAGAAAAAATGGGTACCACATTCTTGAAGCTTAAATATCTAACTCAACTTACCTCAGTCCAAAAGTGGATGATTTAAAAGTTCAATTTGATTTTAGTTTCTCAGATACTATCGCCTAAGAAGGCACATGAGTGTTAATAATTTAGCAGGTTCTGTGAAGAAGAGGTGGAGACATCAATCCACGTCATGTGCCAGAGTAAAGGCCTAGCTTGATTGAGGTTTCTAATACTAGGTGAAGAAAAGCTAGACGCTTATAACTACATAAGGGAGCTCCTGTCAAGGCCACTGAGTGTAATAAAAATTATCGAGCTAGACGACATATTTTAAAATAACGAAGCTCCACAATAGATCTGAAAATATTTAAATTTCACAGCCATCTCTAATTATGATTTTTCTAGATGGCTCATTATATCTCACTTTATTATATGTCACTTGATATAAATATCCCAATGAGCACATGTACGTTAAAAACGTCGAAAACTGGTTGATAACCAAACGTATAAGAAAGAGGTCAAATATCGCAGAATATAACGTTATTCACAACCACAAATTGCATTTAAAGTTAACGTATGTTTGTAACGTTTTATGTTACTATTAAGGTAATATTAGAATCAAACGTTGAATTTACATAGTTTCTATCATGAAAAAGAAGAAATATCGGTTGATTTTGAATAAAAAAATTTATTATAATTGTACGTAACGGTTTTATTTTCCCGTTTTCTTAACGTTAATATATTACGTATTTTCGTTACATAACGTTAAAAAATATATAAATAACACCGAAAAAATTAATGGGGTGATTCTGTGATGAAAATTAATGTGAGTGTTTGGTATAAAATTTTTTGAAAAAACCCTCCCCGGAAAAGTTACACCCCTTCAAAAATTAAAAAAAAAAATGGTTTTTCTTTTTTATTTTCCCTGTATATCAAGCTAAAGACACGAAACTTGGTAAACATTATCTGTCAATAAAAGTACACTTTCTGAAATTTTTTCAACCCTGAAGTATGCTTAGAAGGGGTTGAAATAATCAACCCCTAAGATATTTTTTCTTACAACAAAAAGTATGACTGAAAAGCCCAATTCATTTACTAACTTTTTTATCTCTACAAGTTTTTTTCGAAAACTTAAGCATTTATGAGAAAAAAATAAATAAGCTCATGTAAAATAGCATTTTATTAAACCACAGCCAACCAAATTATGATTCTACAACTAAAAACAAAAGTGAACAAACAATGAACAAAAACCTGTCGAATATCGACAATACAATTATAATAAATGTTGAAAATGACCGCCTTCAGCTTTAATACAAGCATCTACCCTTTTCCTCATAGAATTGCGTATACGATGAAATATTCCTGGAGAATTTCTTATAGTTTCACACCCTGCTACAATGCGGTTTCGCAGATCATCGATATTTTCAACTGGTTTTGTGTATATCAAAGATTTCAGATATCCCCATATACAAAAATCCAAAGGATTAAGGTCAGGGGAGCGGGCTGGCCAGTTTACAGGTCCTCCGACCTATCCATTGATTGGCATACACCTCATCTAGGTGAGTTCTTGCACGTATACTAAAATGAGCTGGTGCACCATCGTGCATAAACCATAAATGTTGCCTAATTTGAATGGGAACCTCTTCAAGAAGAACAGGTAATTCTTCAAGGAGATGACAATATGCTTCACCATTTAATCGTAGCGGAAGAAAATGGGGACCAATTAAATGATTATCAATAATTCCGAGCCACACGTTTAATGAAAATTGATACTGATGATTTCCTTCAAAAAAGCCATGAGGATTTTCGTCAGCCCAAAGGTGATTGTTGTGAAAATTTCTAATACAGTCTCTTGAGAAACTCGCCTCGTCAGTAAATAAAATATTACCTAAGAACTGTGGTGCTTGGCCAATCATATTAATAAGCCACTGACAAAAAATCACACGGGGTAAAAATCTCGAATCATTAACGCCTGCACCCGTTGAAGATGATAGGGATACAACATTTGTTCTTTTAAAATTCTAAAAACAACGAAATGGCTTACATGTAGGACACGAGCTATTCTCCTGGTACTAGTTTCTGGGAATTCTTCAATTGAATTAAGTACGGCTTCTTCTACAGCTGCAGTTCTAACTTCTCTAGTACGACCAGAATCATAACTTCTTTTTTCAAAATTACTACGTTCCCGCAAGCGTCGGTGAATAGTTGTGAACGTAGTATGATGGGGTAGTCTACGCTGTGGGTACTGTTTAGCATAAAGTCTTTGCGCTTCCAATGAATTACCTAGCACGACCGTATGTAAAATGCATATCTGCCATTTCTAAATTCGAATATGCATTCATATTTTCAATCAACTAATATTTCCTACAATACACAATCATAAAACTTGTGAAACAATAAGATGGGTAACAGAAAATGACACTACACAATCCTGGTATCAGTATTAATGTTTTTATGCAAAGCACAGGCCACTAGACTTGACGCAAAATACACTCGCGTTAGCTCATCTTTTTGAAAATGCATTGCATTAGATTTTTTTTCTCGTAAATGCTCAAGTTTTAGAAAAAACTTGTAGAGTTAAAAAAGTTAGTCAATGAATTGGGCTTTTCAGTCATACTTTTTTAAAGAAAAAATTTTCATCTAAAAAAAAGTTGTAAGAAAAAATATCTTAGGGGTTGATTATTTCAACCCCTTCTAAGCATACTTCAGGGTTGAAAAAATTTCAAAAAGTGTACTTTTATTGACAGATAATGTTTACCAAGTTTCGTGTCTTTAGCTTGATATACAGGGAAAATAAAAAAGAAAAACCATTATTTTTTTTAATTTTCGAAGGGGTGTAACTTTTCCGGGGAGGGTTTTTTCAAAAAATTTTATACCAAACACTCACATTAATTTTCATCACAGAATCACCCCTTTAATTTTTTCGGTGTTATTTAGATACACCCTGTATAGTAAATTAACTAATATTAAAATAACGTTTATTTTTAGTTAAAAATATTAACCAAAGGTTTAAGTTTTCCGATACAATAATGGTTACTATTAAACGTATATTAAACAAAATGTTCAATTGTCTGTAGAACTACAATTACATAACGTTTTAAAATGATATTAAAATATACTTAAATAAGTAATATTAAAATAACCTAGATATTTGATTTACATTATTAACCAAACGTTAAAAGGTACGAATACACAAATGTTTTCTATATGACATGTATTTAATTTAAACTAATGTTAATAACGTTAATTTTATTCGACTCTAGTAATATTGATAATACAGCAAAAGTATAAAATTATAAAATTATTTTCAATAATTTTTTATTTTCTTACCCGTGTAAATTAATCCACTGTAAATTCCGCACATCTCTGAGCGTCGAAAAGGGAATACTCTCGAGTTTATTGTAACTCAAATCCAAAGATATGATGCTCTTTGTCAACGAACTACAACATAAAAGATGTAAAGGTGACAAGACTGGTTATGAATGAATGAGCGAACAACAAAGCAAGAACAAAGTTATCCTTCTCTTGTCTTGAACTCACCTAAAACTTCTATCCGAGATGTGTTGTATGTGGTTATTGGTGAGGATAAGGGCTTGCACTTGGCATCCCGCCAAACTTTCAGACTCTAGGATAGTTATTTTTGTTCCTACCACTTCCAACTGACTGATAGTTCCTTCGGGTAAAGCTGTAACACAAGAAATCGATTTGAATTTTAAAAAGAAACCATTTTTTAATATTAAAATAACCAAAAAAGGTTGATGGCTGTGTGCACGTAGTTTAGAAAGGAAAGACTGTGGAAAATACAGGGTGTTTGTAAAAGGTCTTTACAAAAACATACCACATATTCCTTAGACCAAAATAAGTCGATTTAAGTAAAATTACCTTAGTACAAAGTTGCTTCGTTTGGGCTCCAGAGGGCCTTGGTAGAGTTTTATGTGGCAAAAAAAGTGGTATTAAAATTTTGTCCGATAATAATACATAGGCGTAGAACTTGATTTTTTAAATAATTGCACCTTTAAAAATTCTACGCCAATGGAAGAAAAGGAGTTTGAGTATGAAATTTAGATTGTGCAACTCATTTACTTTAAAAAAGGTACTCTTGATAAGACTCGATTACTCTCATGGTTTTGACGAAATTTGCATTTTAGTAATTTTAGAACATAAACAATAATTATTGTTAAAATACAAACTTTGTCAAAACCATGAAAGTAAATCGAGTGTTATCAAGGGTACTTTTTTGTAGTAATTTACGAATTAAATTACGTTGAGCATATGATTTCCCATCTGAATAATTCCTTAATCCAGCTTTTCTCTGTATATGCTCCTTTAGTAAGAAAAAAAGTTACGAAACCGCATACCCCTTGGATTACTTATAATATAAAAGTAATGATTTCGTTAAGAGACAAAGCTTTAAAAAAATATAAAAAAAATAAGACTGCAGTAAATTGGACTAGCTATACCGACCTAAGGAATTTTACTACTGGAGCAATTCGACGAGAAAAAAAGGCTTATTTAAACTTTATTCTTAGAGAAAAGAATTCCAAGACCACCTGGAACACTCTTAGATCCTTAGAAATTCTTAGAAAAAAAGCCAGTCCTATTATACCACCTAACTTAAGTAATGTTACTGAAATTAACAAACATTTTAATTCATCTCCTACTACTCTGAAGTCACATGACCAATTAGCCTTACTTGATCGATACTATGAAAATATATATGAAAATAAATTCGAATTTAAATCTGTCTCTTCTGATACAGTTCGAAAATCTCTAAATCGTATAAAAAGTCATGCCGTTGGTTTAGATAACATATCACTGCGCATGATACAGTTAGTAGAAAATTATTTAATCAATCATTTAACATTTATTTTTAATAAAATAATTTCTTCGTCTCATTATCCACTTTCGTGGAAACGGGCCTTTATTATTCCGCTTGCTAAATGTAATCAACCTACTAGCTTATCTGACTTGCGTCCTATTAGTATTCTACCAACCCTTTCTAAATCGTTTGAATTTATACTTAAAGATCAAATTAGCAAATATGTATATGACCAAAATATAATAACTCCAGCTCAATCTGGCTTTAGAATGCACCATAGTACGACCACTGCCCTCTTATCTATCACGGATGACCTTTTTAAAGCGACAGACCTGGGAAAAGTCACATGTTTGGTTCTTCTTGATTATAGCAAAGCATTTGATACTTTAGATCATCCAACACTTTGCAAAAAACTGAAATTTTTCGGTTTTTCTCATAAATCCGTTCGTCTAATATCAAATTTTCTTAGCAATCGTACTCATAAAGTTATTTTGGAAGCTGATGTATCCAGCAGTCTACCCGTTAGTCAAGGTGTTCCGCAGGGATCCATTCTGGGATCATTGCTGTTTTCACTGTATATAGCAGATTTTCATAGTTTTGTTAAAAATTGTGTGATCCATCATTATGCAGATGATACCCAGTTATATCACTCGTTTAATAATAAGTGCTTACTTACTGCCCAAAATCTTATTAACGACGATTTAAATGCATTACTTGATATTTCTACAGCTCACAACCTCAAAATAAATTCTAAAAAATCATCCATCATGTTATTTGGCCCCAAAAAATTAAGACAATTAACAATAAACGCATTACAAATTAAATTAGGCGATGCTCTTCTTCAATTCACGAATGAAGGAAAAAACTTAGGTCTCTGGTTAGATTCTGATCTTTGTTTTAGTAAACATACCTCCACCATATCTCAAAGTTCGTTCAACGTCTTGAGACAGTTGTACCCTAACCGAGACCTGCTTTCCACACAACTCAAACTTAAACTTTGTGAATCTCTCATTTTTTCCAAACTCAGTTATTGTGATTCCATCTACGGTCCAGCCCTACTCCAATCCGATTCCGCTCGTCTACAAAAAATCCAGAATAGCTGTCTACGTTTCGCCTATGGAATTCGAAAATTTGATCATATCTCGAATAAAATGAAAGAATCAGGTTGGTTGACTTTCAATAACTATCGCCTTTTGCATTTATTAACCCAAGTTCACAAAGTTTTACTCATACAGAAACCTGATTATTTAGTTAACAAATTAAAGACATTTTCCAATATTAATGAATTTCCTACGCGGAATCGAATGACCTTGGTGGTACCGAATCATAACACGGCTCTATTTAAAAGATGTTTTTCGTATGTTGCATGTAAAGAGTACAATAAACTTACAAATGAATTTAAATCATATAACTTGCTTAATTTCAAGAAACGACTAAAAGATTCTTTGTTCAATAAGCAATGGTCATAAAAAAAATATATTATATAATGCAACGAATTTGGTTTTGAAAATCTGTTTATTTTTTATACTTTTTTTTCTCTATTATATTATATTTCAATGTTATTTACAGGTTAAGTTGTAAATCAGCACAAGCTGAACTTCACCTTTTCATCTACCTTATATATGTATATATTTACACTTATACTAAAACTTGATGAATAAAGACTCTTTATTAATTGAGTACCTAATCCAAATTTCATACTTAAACCCCTTTTCTGCCATTGGCGTAGAATTTTTAAAAGTGCAATTATTTAAAAAATCAAGTTCTACGCCTATTTATTATTATCATATTTTCATATTTTAGTAATTTTAGAACATAAACAATAATTATTTCTACGCCTATGTATTATTATCGGACAAAATTTTATACCATGAAAAACATAAAAATGTACTTTTTTCATATCTTCTTCAAAACCTTTAATCGGGACTTTTAACAAAAATACTCGATTCTTGCCATGTACGATTTTTTGAGAAATATTAATTATTTGCCTGCAATACGTATACAAAAACATTTATTGTTGGTTTTCATAGTTTCATCTAAATAAAAATATTGTCAAGTTTTAACACCTAATCTCTTGTTAACGATTGAAAGTGTTCTATCTGACTCAATAGTTAAAAAAACAAATGCGTGGTTTATTAATATGACTGAACAATATACCAATGCAGAATATACCGATATGTTACTGACATTAGGATTTTATGAAGGAAATGCTCGAGAGAGTATCAGGGTGTACTCTGAAAGGTTTCCAAATCGTCGTATACCCAGCCACCCAACTTTTGCTGCTGTTGAGAGACGTCTTCGGGAAACCGGTTCCTTTGCTTCCAACACTGTTGATAATGGAAGAGAACGTTTTGTAAGGATTCCTGAAGTTGAAGAAGACATTTTAGAACGTGTTGAAGAAGATCCAGAATTAAGTACCAGACGAATTGGAAGAGAACTAAGAGTAAGTAAAGATGTCGTTCATAAAGTGCTTAGAGAACAATTGCTATATCCATACCATAAGAAGCCAGTACAAGAATTATTAGTCCATGATCATCAACTTTGTTTGGGTTTTTGTCGATTTGTTAATATGCAAAGAGAAAGAGATCCAAACTTTGTCAAGAAGGTTCTCTTTACCGATGAAGCGGGTTTTTTCAAGAAGAGGTATAACTAATACCCATAATGAACATGTTTATGCCGTTGAAAATCCGCATGCAATAAAGGTAAACCATTTTCAGCACAAATTCAAAATTAATGTGTGGGCTGGATGCCACGCTCCTAGTCTCCCCAGGACTGTAAGGGGTGGCAAAAATTACTATTTTCCCAAGCTAACTATTAAATTTATTATTCGGAGAATGGGGTGTTTAATGAAAGTATTTTGTCCTGGGATCTGATTTAATATTTTTATCTTTTAGTTGATGCACAAAATTTACCATGGAGTTATTATCCCCTACAAATGTTTATTCTGTTCTCTATACTGTTAATAATATAAAGGTGATTTATGTTCCCCCTTGTAGTACTATAAGGTGCACAGAAAAAGGTGAGTTTTAATTATTATCTTAAATCTTATCAACTATATATATTGTACTTTACTCTAGTGTACAGATGGTAATGAGAGCTGCTGCGTTCAGGTACATTAAAATAAGAAAGGTAGTCCTTACTTGAGGGCTGAGGGATTTGAAGTCTTACTATCGACTGATAACTCAGGACTCGGTAATGGTTGGTGATGTCTCCAGAAGGTGCCAATGAATTATATGGGTGCTGCAGATAAATCGGTGGTAGATACCGAACCTTCAATATCTATCGGTCATATCTCTCGATTCAAATAATCTTGTTCAAATAAATATTCAATGAATAAATGAACGCATAAAACGTAAATAAGTACGTAAATAAGTACTTAAATCAGTACTTAAAGGCCTAAAAGGAAACAACATTATTAATACTTGATTTTTAGGAAAGCATGGACAGGTTGAACTTACCACAGATGTGAGGGGCCTTTCTTTTACAAGCAATAAAATCCACAATATGTGATTCAACCTAAATGAAACATTACTTGTAAGAATTAAGATGAGGGTTGAAAATACTGGCTAAATAAATCCGAAAATTCGAAAACTTAAACCCAGGTGGTTCAGCAAGAAGCCATTTTATTCAAAAGGTCAGATATGAGAGTATAAAAAAATATTTATAAAAAGTGGTCAGTGGTCAGTTCATGTCCAGATAAGATATTTAAATTATCCTGATTGTTGTACCTTAATGTAATTAATTAGAAGTATTTGAAAAAGAAGAAAATTGACAACAAAATGACTTTGACATGATAGAAATAAACAAGTCCTATATAAAATCAGAATAAAGATTTTAAAGAAAATCTACCCTAAACTACCTAACTA